ATTGAGGGCGAAACAGAGCCGGGATCCCGAAACGGTCTTCTTTCTGCGAATGCGAGCCTGTCGCTCCGTGCCCTCGCTCAGAGGGGGTTGGGGGGGTGGGGTCGTTGTGACAGAGCCTGCGGGGTTGGGGTTGTTAGGCGGGGAGGGAGGTCTCCAGCTCTCTCTCTTTCTCCGTCTCTCTACAGGGCGGCGCTGATGATGACGAGCCTGAGAGCTTTCAGCCTATCTTTTCACCAAGGCAGACAGGCAGGAGGGTATGGCAAGCCATTGTAACATATAATAAAAGAGGCGGCTGTGATTTATCTAATTGGACAAGTTATGCATGATAAAACAATACTTAGGTCTCTTATAGCCCATTTTATTTACACAAAAGCTGACTGCTACGTTGGATAAAAAAGACATATCACATAACTCAGACGTCTCCATGGTTTTCATTGTGCTGCATCTAAAAGCACCTGCCTCTGCTCTCCGTTCTAAAAACCAACAAGAGGACATGTATGGCTATACTTTTCACTCATAAACGCAATTTTAAAGTTTTTCAGGGTATCATTGAAAGATGTTAGGAAATATAGCATGGTGCTCATTTTTTGCAAGCAAGAAGCTGTGTGGGTGTGACAGACTGAGGAGTGTATTTGTGTTTATTTGATCAATAAAACCTGTGCAGATTATCTCTTTATAAGTATGTACCAAAAATACATTTTACAGTTGTCTTCAATATAGCTATAAAACCATTAAGTTTTTATGATAATAATTTGATACAAACGTTTGCTAAGATACAAAGTTTTACAAAACTTAGAGTTGTGTGAGTCGATGAGTCAATGCAATCCACTGGTTTTGCTCAGATACAAAACTTTGAACTAGTCTGACTGCATGATCTGGTTGAACTGACTCTGTAAAGTGTCTTGAAACAACATAAATAAACTGAATTGAATGTAGTTTGCAAAAAAATAGCTACAGAGGGTATAATTCAATGAGATAGTAGGTGCATACCCTGTACAGTTGTGCTTGAAAGTTTACATACCCAATAAAGAAAATGCTCAATTAACTCCAGTATTTCAAATAAAACAAAACTGGAAAAGCAATAATAAATAACATTAATGTGTAATAATTTAGTCAAATTAAGTATTTATGTGGAATTTTAATAAAAAGATCATTCTAAAAAAACAAAATCCCTAAAAAAATTAAAGAGCATTGATTGTGAACAGTGATCCAATAGATGGAGAAGTCTTACTGAACATTTCCTGAACATTACAGAAAACCAATTTTAATTTTGGTGCCCCATCATGCTTGCTTACCCATTTTATTTAGCCTCTGACTAAGGACAGTGTGTTGTTTAAAAATCTTTTGAAGAGGATGCTTACTGTTGTGCATAATGTTCTTCACTTAATTAAGTATATTCCTTTGCTGAAGAAGAATTTTACTGGCAGCCGACTTTTTTCTTTAATGGAAAAATATGTAAACTTTAAAGAACAAATGTAGAACAGCTTCATCAAAATATTATTATTGTTACAAGAAATAGAAATCAAATAGGTCTTAATAATAACATTTCTACAAGTACAAATTATTTTTCCATACACAACTAAGACTGTATTATAAAAGGTTATGTCAAATATATTTTTTTAATTTTCAAGCGGCCATTTTGACATACTGATGGCAAGAACAGATACATCATTCCATTCTTCCCAATTATATTGCACGTTTCAGGTTTTGTCCTACAAAGACACAAAAAATTTAAATAATCAAAAAATGAATCTTAAGTTCTAAAAGTTACTCCAGGTGAGAAAAATTCAGAGAAGATATCTTGTTGCTCTTATATCCAGCATTTGTTGTTTTGAAGTGAATTATGGGTATTTATATGTCTCAAGAGTTTATATGACAAATTGGCTTGCTATACCCCAGAGCTGGCCGCGCGAGACTCACCTAACAATCTGGTTTACGTCAGAGCTGCCGAGCTCTAATCACATCCGATGAAAGATTGGTAAAATGAAAGAGACGTTCAAGTGGCAAATGTCACCCCCGGATTTGGTGTCATTGGTGGAAAGCATGTTGGTGTAATAGAACTGAAATGTCCCAACCTGACCGCCGTCACTGGTTCTCTATTTTCTGGCACCTGGGTGGTGTTTAATCGTGTCAACAACATAAGTAGGTCTGAAAAACAGACGGTAGTAGACAGATGAAGCTTAAATTACGTCAGTACTATTGCAAAAACTGCTTAAAATACATGTTACTGATTATTATTATTATTATTTGCCTAGTCACAGATACAGCGGCTGAGCAGCTAAACTGTAACATCAAAAGGAAATACCAAATTTAATTGTTTAGAAAAGGGGTCACAAAGTGTTAAAATACTTAATTATGTTATTTAATAAAAGTTGAGTATTTAAAATGATAAAATGATTTTGTTACATTTTCAATGTTTAAGAGATTTTTTAGAATTGCAGTAATTCAGTTAAAATAGAGAAACATTTAAATGTATTAAACATAATGATATATGAGCATGAATACCAATATTGCAGAAGATCAATAAAATAATATTTTTTTATTTCACAATGATCAAGAATCTTCTTTTCGACTATGAAACCATGATCAATTATCTTGAGACTCACCTGGCTTAGAATGTTACATGTATATATAAAATGCAGAAAGATATAAATACATACCTATATATACACCCTATAAGCATAATTAATGGAGACCCTTGAAAAAATTAAAAACCCTCAGAAGAAAGACAAAGATAAATACACTTAGAGAAAAACCCCAAGAACTGGATATATGTTCCTTTCGCATGAATTGCTGCATGGCAGGGCAGGGGCAATCAGGCTGCGACTTAGCTGAGATGCAAGGAAAGCCTAAGTTGCCTGTAGCCTTCAGCTCATCTGCATTGATTGGTCTGGTGTCTTTCATCTTCCTCTTAACAATCTTCCATAGATTATCTATGAGTTTTAGGTTAGAAGCGTTTGCTAGCCTGCCAAGCTCAGCGATACCACGGTGATCAAAGCAAATGATTTTTGAAAAGGCTAGCAGAAGCCAAGTCCTGTAGGATAATAAAAATTAACATTGCTTCAAAGTTATTCAAAGAACATTCCTCAACAATAACATGAACATGACCTTCTTTAGTCATGACTTTTGTGGCCCTTATGTATATATATATATTTAATATATATCGACATATAACTTTCTGGTGTCACTCTTTTAATGAAAGTAATACCAAGAATATTCATAGAAATAAAGTTAGTCTGACAAAAGTAACAATAAATAAACATTTAATTAAAATGAACAAGGTAAAGGCTATAAGAGCATCTCCAAACTGCTTCATGTTCCTGTCACTACAGTTGGACATGTTATGTCGAAATGAAAGTTCCATCGGATCCCTCAATGTGGCTGTAGGAGGAAAATGTATGAAAAATCAGAGATAATACCAAAGGTAACTAAAGAGCCCAGAACAACTTTTAGAGGTTAAAGGTGAACTTCAAACTCAAGTTACATCAGTGTCAGATCGCACCATCCATTGTTGTTTTAACCAAAGTTGACTTAATTGCAGACGACCAAGGAGGACACTTTTGTTGAAAGCAAATCAAAAATTCAGACTGGAATTTGCCAAACTACATGTAAACAAGCAGCAAAGCTTCTGGGAGAATGACCTATGGACAGATGAGACAAAAATGGAACGTTTAGCCAATACACATCGGCTCTATGTTTACAGACAGAAAAAAGAAGCGTTTCGAGAAAAGACCACTTTCCCTACTGTGAAACATGGGGGAGGCTGTAATGTTTGCTGCATCTGGCACAGGGTCTCTGAATCTCTGCAGGGTTCAATGAAATCTCAAGACTATCAAGGAATTCTAGAGAGAAATACCCAGTGTCAGAAAGCTTGGTCTCAGTCGCAGGCAATGTGTCTTCAACAGGATAATGAGCTAAAACACACAGCTAAAAACAGCCAATAATGGCCAAGAGGAAAACATTGGACTATTCTGAAGTGGCCTTCTATGAGTTCTGATCAAAATCTGATTGAGCCTCTTTAGATGGAGCTGAAACATGCCCTCTGGAAAAGGCACCATTTAAACCTGAAACAAACGAAGCAGTTGGCTCATGAGGAGTTGGCCAAAATACCTGCTGAGATGAGCAGAAGTCTCACTGACAGTTACTGGAATCATTTGATTGCAGTGATTGCCTCAAAAGGTTCTGCAACAAATATTAAGTGAACAATAATTTCTTTCCAGTCCTTTTTAGAAAAAAAATGTATTATTATTCTGCTGAAGTAGGTTTAAAAGCAATATGACTTTCATTTTCTTATTTGCATTTGTTACTTTTGTCAGATTCAAGGTTTTTCTGTAACCATTGTTTCATTAAAAACAAGTTAACAAGTTTTGTATATATATATATATATATATATATATATATATATATATATATATATATATATATATATATATATATATATATATATATATATATATATACACACACACAAACGTGTGTGTGTGTATATAAACAGTGTGTAGATATGACATGTCGATGAGCAGAACAGAGAGAAGAAGCAGGGATATGTCTCTTGTAATCACTTGCTACAACTGTATGTCCATACTGGAGTTGGCCCATACCATAAAGCCGTTAGTCTGCTTGATAAAAGCTTCTAATCCAGCAATCACATCAGGATGGACGGTAGAGCGGGGGGTGGGACAGGACTGTGCAGTTCACCCTGCACAGACCCATTCCATTCGTCTCATCTATTGTCCACAGGCTGAGATCAAACTCCCCACACGGCTACGCACTGACACCTCAACTATGGAGCTCCCTTGGCGTGATTTCACCACCCAAAGACATCCAGCAACAATGCTGGTGATCACTGATTCAGTCCTACACTGAACTGGCACGTGTGTGAGTGACTGCGTGACGGCATTGAACCGGGAGGATTAACACCAAATTACACCTGGGGGAATTTAGACAAAATTGTGTTGTTAGTTTTAATTACACTAATGCATCAAACACAAACATAAGCCTTTTTCTTTCCACAACCATTTAATTTGCAAGAACCCATTTCATAGAAAAAAAAAATCAATATCCTCCCGTTTTTGTCGCGATTAGAAGCAGGACCCAACAGATTTCATCTCTTAACTGATATGTAACACGGGAAAAAAGGGGACATGATAAAAACAGTTCAGACAGTGCATTAAACTCCTGCTTGCATTTTCTCTTAACAGTGATGACAGGTTATTTCAAATAAACAAAATAAACTAAAAATACCAAAAAAACTGACTACGACATGCCGATCTGAATCCCACTCACACAACCTGTGAAATCGCACACAATCACACATACTTGGTTCTGATTTAAACATGAGGAAGAAGTGAGTGGAACAGGAAGTGCTACTCTGAATGATAAAGCAGGTGGGAGAATGTTTCCATTCCCACAGAGGAACCCAGACCTCAGTTTTGGTTTTTGTTTTGCACACAGTTACTCTCTGGGATGCATGTCCAGCATATTTTCAGCCAAGCTGGTAAGTTTGCTGTCCTCCAGAGCTCTGACCAGTCGGCTCAGCTTGGCCGCCCTCCCCTCCGCCTGGATGAAACGGCTGAGCAGCTGATAGGCTTGTTCGTACAGCCCTTCTCTCTCATATTCATAGGCCAGGTTGTCAATGGCGGGGCCCTTTAGAGCGCGACAGCTCTTCCCCAGGGCCCTCCCTACATGTTTCCACTGACGGCCCACTCCGTTTGAAAAGCTCTGAACATCTGCCGGTGTCAGCATTCGGTCCTCTGGTGAACATAAAGGATAAAAAAAAAAAAAAAAGAAAGAAACAATAATGTAAATTTGACTGAGCATTATTACATAAACTGTGTGGAAACCTCAAGCTTTACCCAGAATACTTCACCAATGAAAATCCCCATTTCATAAGAGGGTACCATCCCCTCGGATTGCCTTCATTATGTTAAAATGTTTGAAGTTATTATGGTGTCTCTGCATTTATTTATCTCTATTATCTCTATTCAGTGACATATAGTGAGTGAAATATTAAGGATTCGAGTTTGAAGGACAACTACAGCAAACCAAACTGGTTCTCGGGTTAGTTTGCAGCTTTCTCTCGATAGGTTTACAGTTCTGTTATTTTTTGACAAATTAAACAGGGTTTTGAGAAGAGCTTTATTGCCTTTTCTCAAACAGGAAAATTCTTGTTGCAAAAAAGAAAAAAAATACTTTTGTGGGTACAGTCCGATCTATGTTGAATAATTATAGGGGCTTTATGCAGTCAACTCTAATATACAGGTGAACAATTTAAACACACATCAAAGGATTTTTTACAGGCCAGCTGATAAATAAATACTGACTCAGCATCATTCTGGTATACCTGGTTTCAACATCTGGACCGAACCCTGACTGACATTGACCCAGGGAACTGACTGCCCCTCTTACTGCAACCTAGAAGCAGGATTTAAACTTGAATGTTATAAACTTTCAGGCACTCATTATCATGTTTTTCTATCTAACACGATGCTTTGTCATGCTAGATAATAAATAGATGCTCACCTAACTGTGTCTAGAGAAAGCTGCTCTTGGCAGAGGTCTCTATCACCACTCTTGATGCATTAAGATTCTTCTTGGAAAAAGTTGTTAACAAACCTCTTCCATCAATGAGATGCAACCACACAGAGCTCTCATCTTTTGCTCTCCCTATAAATGATTTCCCAGATGTCTCACAAAAGCAAGATAAATCATTAGAAAAGATAACTTTGTACCAGCCCTAATGCTGCCTATCCCTTATTTCTCATGATAAATTTTACTTTGTTCGTCATATTTTTCTTGGACAGCGGCATCCTTTTCACAGCCAGGTTGTTATTTGAAAAATATTCGCCTCACTGAGATTCTCAATGCCAATTTCTAAGAAGATCTGCACTGGCGGAAACATGATTATGCGCCATACTCCTACCCATCCAGGTACTCGGTAGATTTCTTGCAGTTTCTAAAGCAGTTTATTTGCACCTTAATTTTAGTTTTGGATTATCAAGAAAACCCTTTCAACTACAACCTCTTGAATACTAATGTAATTCATGTGATGCTGTTTCATTTCAAAGGAATCATGGGTGCACACTTTTATTTTGAGATGACCAATGCTAACACAAGACAAAGGTGATTTTTAGCACAGCTGCTGCACAGTTTGTAATAATAAATTAATAATGCAATTTCACCCTGCACTATACACCTAAAAACAGTTGACTGACCAATTAGAAGGCAAAAATAAACTGTAATTCAACATGCATCTGATCTATGTAAAACAGAACTTGTCTTCACAAAAACTGAAGGTGTAAACTGTGCAATGCACAGCATCTGAGTCACCACTAAATCTTTTGGACATGGCTGAAGCTTATACTCTTCAGCTAGATGCTATGAGTATGTTTGGAGCAGAGCAGTTGGTGCTCAGAGGACAGCAGCAGCAATTAACTCTTATGAGAAAACAAATCAAACAAGTAGCTGCAGGCCTGCAAGCAAAATCAAAACAACCAGTTTAAAGGGTCAGGCTTGATCTGAGAGGAGATGAGGCTGCTATTATCTTAGCTCATTAGGTCTCAATATTTACCAAAAGTGTGTTCTGTTTTGGGTTTTCAACAGCTATAAAAGACATGTTTTTTTTCATCTTTCATCAAATAAAATTGACCATGTCCATTAAGAATTGGTCCCCGAAAAAGAGTGCTTTGTATTTAAATGAGAAGTTATGTTTTTTGGAACAACTCAAGGCTTAAAGGTCAGCTACTAAATCAATTTTAGTTGATTCGGTCTGTTCCAACTAATCTTGCTCAACACAGATGAGTAGCAATCAACTGGATTAGAATCAGCTGGAAACGGAAACAAATTCACAAGATCTAATAAAACAAAATGGATGATGTTCAGGAAACATTCATTGGACAGTTTGCTGTTGTCGTTGAGGTTGGCTTTAAAGCTAAACTTTTTACATCAAGAAACACATAACTTAGAGGTGAAAAGTAAAAAAAAAAAAAAAACACTGTATGTTTCCAAGTTATCCAACAGATCTGAAAACCTTACCAGATTAAAAGAAACTTATATTTTAAACAGGGAATAAAATATGAATTTATTGCAGCTATTTTAACAGTTAAACTTTACAGATGATCGATGTCCGGATGTATGTATGGATGGATGGATGGAACATGTGGATATCTTCTGTGAAATGTAGTCTTACATAAAATCACTCACACACTCATCTTTCTCCTACCTGTAAACTGGACTTCTAATTTTTTTTTTTTAAGACTTCCTCAAGCAGGGTAGGAAACCTAAAACTAATGCCTTTACTCACCAAACACTCTGTTCTGAAACTTGAAGCAGTTGCTGGGGAGCGGAGACTCTTCCTGTGTGACTGTGGGGGGCTGTGGGGCGGGACCCAAGGCTTGGTTCTGCAACTGCTGCTCCAGACGTTCAATCTCTTCATCCCGCAGGCGCCCCGGCTAACACAGATCAACACATCTCTTAAAGTCACCTTACACACCAACCATCTCTAGACTTGTTTGAATTATTGACATGAAGAAAATAGCACTCATTTTCCAAAAGGTCAAACACAGATACCCAGCCTACCTGTGAGAGGTGGATATGCTGCAGACAGACAGTCAGCTGGTCCAGACACAGATCCAGATTTTGGGTCCCAGCCTTTAGCTGGGTTTCTACAGTGAAGTCTTGAGGAACAGCGAGAAGCCGGCAGGCGTGTTGGGAAAGGGACTGACGCACCGCTCCGGAGCTGTAGCTCTCCAGGAACTGCTGACATGCTGCCACATCCACGAATTTCACCTCCACCCCCAGGAAGGGCTCAGCATCATGGACCTTTAGGATCTCATAGCCTCCCAGACCTCCTGCAGAATCTGGCCGTGGAAAACACTGATTAATTAATGTCACAGCCTGGAAAAGCTTTCTTTTGTTTCTGCCCCAGTCAACCCAGATGAGTTTACCTCCAAGAGTCAGCTTGATGACTTTAAAAATTATGAACTTTCCCTGCTGGTCTTTGTAGAGAGTGAGCAGGTCCACGTCAGGAACCAGTGACTGCAGAAACATGACTGCACATCCCGTCCACGCCCCCCCGTCCACAGTCTTGTCCGCCATTTTCTGAACACAGTACGATCAGACTGAGGTAAACAAACTGATAAAAGCGTGGTAATAACTGTCTAAACTGAGAATGTTCACAACATGTTTTTGTTTTAAAGTATTTTTAACCTGAAATGAGAGCATATAAGGTTTTAATATTATCTACAAATAAAAAGACACACGTTTGCGCTTCATCCTCTTTACTTAGAAACCCATAAATAAACTCTGATGAAACCAATTGTCTTTAGAAGTCACCTAATTTATAAATAGACTGCACACGTGATTCATTTTTATCTGTGCTCAGTAAAGGTGGTTTGTTAGAAAAGGTTAGGAAACAAATAGCATCTTGCAGGAGCAAAGTAGGAGTAGGCTACAGAAATCTGAACATACACCAACACTGACAGACTGTTGGGCATTAATCAGCAAAGTAGCAGAGAGGCCTGAGATAAATCTGGAAGAGTTGCAGAGATCTTCAAATCAGATAAGAAAATCTGTTGACACAACAGCTATTAGCTGTGCACTCCACATAAAAAAGAACAGCCGGTAGGAAGAACGGCAAAAGAAATCCTGCTTGCAGTTTGCTACAGGTCATAGGGAATACAGCTTGCTTCCAGGAGAAGTGACCTTGGTTGGATGAGACCAAAACATTTTTTTCATACATGCAGGAGTTTAGTTGTGGGGCAAAGCAATAACTGTTTACTCGTTTAAAAACACCATCTGCATGGTGCAGAGAGGCTTTTCTTCAGCTGGCTAAGTTAACTGTGAGATGGAGATAGACCCAAGGCAAAGCTGCGGATGGATGGATGGATGGATGGATGGATGGATGGATGGATGGATGGATGGATGGATGGATGGATGGATGGATGGATGGATGGATGGATGGATGGATGGATGGATGGATGGATGGATGGATGGATGGATGGATGGATGGATGGATGTTCGAGATCGAACCAAATTCGGTCGGCCAATCACGCTGCAGCATTATGGTTTAAGGTGGCACATACAGCTGTATTGAAAGCAAGAGCTGCCAAGCCAGCAAACAAACCAAAATAAACATGTCAGTATAGAAGGATGCACACATAGCCACTGCTTTCACATCGGTTTGGCCAGCATCCACAATTTCGTCTATTAAAGAGGAACAACAGCAGTGTACAAGCTCTTATTGCTTCTTATGGCGTCTGCTGCTACTTAGTCTGTTGCAACGATTGCCTAAAACCAACTTTGGTTGGGGGGATGGGTAGCGGCAATAGATGTTTCTTTACCCAATCTAATTCTGCTGAAGAGTTAGAAGCAGCCACAAATTTTAACTGTCTATGCAGATGAGTGGTGGAGGATTCTGATGACTTGACTTACAAAAAAACACCAAACCTATCGGAATCATTAGCAGTGTTAGTAATATTTTATTTTACCATCTCGTTGTTCAACTGGATTGAGTTCGGCGCTACATAGCAACCTAAGTTGATCAACCATCTCACCAATTTCTAGTAGTGAAGATGAGGCAATGTGTCTCATAACCATACCTAAAATATGCCACTGCTCTCAAAGGACTCAACTGATGTGACCCCAGTCCACCTTAACTTTTTTGGTTTACCCCCCCGTCCTCTTTTGAAAACCCTCATTACATAAAAACAATCCTAATCTCATTTATCCCCTCCCCCAGTACAACCTCTAACTCCTGTACCCTGGATGAACCACTGGAGCCTGCAAAGACTCAGTCCCTCTCAGCGCTGTCAGCTTGAACCAGCATGCTCTGAGCTGGATTATAATGCATTTCCTCATATTTCACTAATACACTGCATGCTTGGCAACTAGACCTGGGAGAATGTCTAACAACTTAGCCAGTGTGCAGTTTTATGTGATCCTATCTACTCTGAAAGTAAACTGTGAGATTAGTTCACCAGCTGCATGAGCTGTATGAGGATTACACGACCGCTGGGAGCTTAAAACGTATCGCTTATCTTTTGCTGCCAAAAGGTTACCTCTAGGATTCCCTGGACAGATCATCTGACGTTCCAGCTGCAAAAGTATCTGATTCACATGGGAAAACGCTCACAAATTAGCAATCAAGCTTCCTTATGATGCTTATCAGCTGTCGTCAGTGGGACGGAGTGAAGAAAATAAAGGAAAACAAACATCCCTTACATATGGAAGAGGAGAGAAAACAGGAGTAGGGTTGAATGGGGTGGTTTCTAGCTGAGTAGTGAGATTGTAACATCCTTCATATTGTTGTGCTTAGCTTGTTTGTGTTTGCAACATTGAAACAGGTGCTTTCTGCACACGCGAAGGACACAGTCCTTAATCAGAGTAAGGTTTAAAGGCTGCTTTTTATTTCCCATGTTGTAATGGAAAGAAAAAGTGATGCATAAGCTGCTGAAGGTAGCTATTCAAACCCTCCATGTAGGTACACTGACCTCCATTAGCACCTGTCTGTCACCTGCTGTTGTTGCAGAAGAGAGCAAGAATGACCTAAGGTTTCCTAGAAGTTGGGCTGCTGCCAGCGGCTGTGCAGCTCAGACATGTTTCCATGAGCATCCCTCATGACAGGGCTCGGCATCGGAAATGAATTCACGTGTGTAGCAACATGCAGCTGGCAACATCCAAGCCCATCAGTTATAAGTATCTGAATCTGATACAAGGGGGGATTTTTCCAAAACATGAACACTTCAGACTGACTATTATTTTTGTTATTGAATATTTTCCTATTTATGTAGAAAAAGCTCAGACACAGGGTATGTCATTCCCCAAAACAGTCTCAAATTGAGTTAGAGTGAGTCAGTAATACAAATTTGATTGAAATCATAATGAAATGTAGGAGTTATAAACACTGATGCGCCTAAATATATCTGATGCTATGAGAAAGTCGACCGTTTCTGAATGGATGCTTTTTATTTACTCTAGGATGAGTTAGTTTTAGTCTTCATGCAAAGCGGTCATGTAATGCAATAAAAGTAAACCGTTTTAAATGAAAACTCGAAGAATATGGACAAAAACCCAAACATGATGAATGTGGCTGTATCCAACTCTTTGTTCTTAAAAATAACTTAAAAGGAAAACAGTATTTTTTCATTAAAAAATGAAGAACAGCCACTTATGAATTATAACCATCTGCAAACACCCTGTTTACATGTTAGTACAAATAGCCTCATGCAAAACATTAAATTTAATTAAATTGCAGCAACGGTTGGTTATCAAAATATTTAACAAATGGAAATCTGAAAACTGTGATGAACATTTTTATTCATCCACCTTTACTCTGATGGAAGTCCGCTGACAGCATTCACTTCTGTGTGTCAACGAATTAGTGAATGCAGTAAATCACAAGGCTGTCCTCCTACACTGACAGACCTGACAAGTAGAGCAAAAATCAGAGAGGTGAACAACTGTTTTTATGGCATTTTATGGCAGAGACGACAACTATTTGCAGCCTTAATGGGACAAACTTGTGACACGTTTACACTGTAAATGGATCACACTGAGCAGGAAACCAACCGTGACACAATAGTGGCGGGGTGTGGTTTTTGCTCAGCACAATGGAGGGGGTAGACTGGCCAGGGACTGGTGCCAGGTGAGGTTAATTAGGGCATCTGCAGGGCAATGTCTAATCAAGCTCCCTGTCTCTCTTTATATACAGAGGTGCACTGAGCCCATAGAGACCGGTTGGACATGTGCCAGTGTGCATGTTTCCATTAGCGTTGTTGTTACTTGTTGTTGTGTGGAGGTAGGGTTTTGAAGTGCACCTCCAGCTGTTGCATGGAGCACTCAGTGTTCAGTGCACTAGCAGGTGGCCTTCAGAGGAGTCTAATCACTCCTAAAGCTTTTCCTGAGGCAGCAGATGGAACCCAGAGCTGCAGCAATCTCTGTCGCTCACACACACACCTGAATCTATTGTTTCAAGTTATTAATGGAGAGGCTTTTTTTTTTAAAGTGGGCATTTTGTCATGATATGGAAGTTAAATACAGATGGTAATTTAACACTATTAAGCCTCACCAGAAAAAAAAAACCTTTATTAGTATAATATTAGTCTCTTACTAAATTTTAGGACAAAATTTTAGGAAATGGCGTGATTAATGGGGTACTATAGAACTAATAGTTTCCAGAAGAAAACACATATAAATACCTTTTTGAGACCTATTCTAAAACGACCTAAATCTTATGTCCTTTCATGATGTTTTCATGAAAAGATAATTTGATATTATAGCTTCAGAGAACCTTAAGGAGGGGCATTTCTAAAAAAGACTTGAAGCTCACGTCAGAATGCATCCTTTAAATGAACCTCATCATTAAAGTAAATATCCCAGTGGCAGAAGAGAGGAAGTCAAGTAAGTAGATGAGTGAAGTATCAAATGAATAATTAATGAACTCTTCAGTTTTCGCCTATTGGTTTCTGGATATCAGTGTGGCCTTCTTCTTCTCGTTTCTCTTATTTTTTTATTTTTTTGTCAAACTATTTATCTTGCTACATTGGTGTTATTTTCCAACCCAGTTATTCCAGACTTGATATAAGGAAAAACTTTCTTATTATCAGTGTAATAGTCTGAGTGACATCTGAACTACTTCCTGTATGGGCAAACAGACACAAACTGCAAGAAAAACAGCCCCAGGGCAAACTTGAAAAACGACAATGAAATAAAATCACCACTGTTATCTGAGCATAATACCAAGCTCGACTGCATAGAGAACTCCACACTATCTACAGGTGCTGGTCATAAAATTAGAATATCATGAAAAAGTAGATTGATTTCAGTAATTCCATTTAAAAAGTGAAACTTGTATATTATATTCATACATTACATACAAACTCATATATTTCAGATGTTTATTTTGTTTAATTTTGATGATTACAAATGACAACAAATGAAAATCTCAAATTCATCATATCAGAAAATTAGAATATTACTGAAGACCAATAAAAACAAAGGATTTATAGAAATGTTGGCCAACTGAAAAGTATGAACATGAAAAGTATGAGCATGTACAGCACTCAGTATTTAGTTGGGCCTCCTTTGGCCTGTATTACTGCAGCAATGCGGCGTGGCATGGAGTCGATCAGTCTGTGGCACTGCTCAGGTGTTATGATAGCCCAGGTTGCTCTAATAGTGGCTTTTAGCTCTTCTGAATTGTTGGGTCTGGTGTATTGCATCTTCTTCTTCACAATACCCCATAGATTTTCTATGGGGTTAAGGTCAGGAGAGTTTGCTGGCCAATTAAGAACAGGGATACCATGGTCCTTCAACCAGGTACTGGTAGCTTTGGCACTGTGTGCAGGTGCCAAGTCCTGTTGGAAAATGAAATCTGCATCTCCAAAAAGTTGGTCAGCTGCAGGAAGCATGAAGTGCTCTAAAACTTCCTGGTATGTGGCTGCGTTGACCCTGGACCTCAGAAAACACAATGGACCAACACCAGCAGATGACATGGCACCCCAAACCATCACTGACTGTGGAAACTTTACACTGGACTTCAAGCAACGTGGATGAAGTGCCTCTCTTCTTTTCCTCCAGACTCTGGGACCTTGATTTCCAAAGGAAATGCAAAATTTACTTTCATCAGAGAACATGACTTTGGACCACTCACTAGCAGTCCAGTCCTGTTTCTCTTTAGCCCAGGCAAGACGCTTCTGACGCTGTCTGTGGTTCAAGAGTGGCTTGACACAAGGAATGCGACAGCAGAAACCCATGTCTTTCATACGTCTGTGTGTGGTGGTTCTTGAAGCACTCACTCCAGCTGCAGTCCACTCTTTGTGAATCTCCCCCACATTTTTGAATGGGTTTTGTTTCACAATCCTCTCCAGGGTGCGGTTATCTCTCTTGCTTGTACACTTTTTTCGACCACATCTTTTCCTTCCCTTCGCCTCTCTATTAATGTGCTTGGACACTGAGCTCTGTGAACAGCCAGCCTCTTTAGCGATGACCTTTTGCGTCTTGCCCTCCTTGTGCAAGGTGTCGATGGTCGTCTTTTGGACAACTGTCAAGTCAGCAGTCTTCCCCATGATTGTGTAGCCTATAGAACTAGACTGAAAGACCATTTAAAGGCTTTTGCAGGTGGTTTGAGTTAATTAGCTGATTAGAGTGTGGCACCAGGGGCCATCAATTTTGAACCTTTTCACAATATTCTAATTTTCTGATATGATGAATTTGAGATTTTCATTTGTTGTCATTTGTAATCATCAAAATTAAACAAAATAAACATCTGAAATATATGAGTTTGTATGTAATGTATGAATATAATATACAAGTTTCACTTTTTAAATGGAATTACTGAAATCAATCTACTTTTTCATGATATTCTAATTTTATGACCAGCACCTGTATATGTTTAGATCAAATGAAACCATTATGAATCTTTAATTTGTTTCTAATAGGCTGGCATCTACTATCCTAATGTACATTGGTGATTACATTCATCTAAGTCCCCGTCTGATAGTGCCAGCAGACTGCAAACCTTACCATTTGGGTACTCTTTCTTGAACTGATTGAATTAAAGTGATTTACTTGGATCTATGCTGATGTGTTTAAACAGGGGACATGTTAAAAAAGTTTTAAAAACTTCAAATTATGGAACGAAATGAGTGATAAAACCTCCCTTATTCTGTGGACAAAAATCTATCCATTTTCAGTGTTTCATTTCCAGCCTTGTTTAATTATTTATTAGTCATTAATCATCTTTAGAGGGGAAACCATCTCCAGCTGTTTCTTAACACACTACAAATGAACATTTACACTTTATGCACTTGGGTGTAAAACTCTGTTCCCTAATAAAGATAGAATCTTTTAATGTGTGTGATAGACAAAATCATCTATTGTGCTTTTTTCTATGAGAGGCATCAGCACAGGATTACAAAGGAGATCGAAGCTGATAGGAATATGGATAAAGCTACAGACAGTAGAACACCGTAAATAACGTAACAGATGAAGAAAAGACTTAATAGTGACCATTGGAACAACCCTACAGCAACAAAACAATCCTGAACATAGTCGGACACGAAATTGCTTGGCTTAGATTAAAATATATTTATGTATTGAAACTAGGGTTGCAACTTAAGATTATTTTGCAAATCAACTAATGTGCTGATTATTTTTTCAAGTAATCAATAAATAATCTGACAGAAAAAAGTTCCTCAGAGAAGAATTTTTTGAGAATTAAACCAGGTGAAACTAAAATATTTTCTCTTTCCAGGACACTGCTGAGTCCTGGATAGAGCATGTTGACAGACTAAGTTATCTTTAATCTTAAATCACAAAAAAATAAATAAAAAATATATATATATATTTTTTATTTTTTATTTTATTTTATTTTTTTTTGAGGAGGAAGCACTTCGTATAATTACTGCTTTGAGCTAAATTTATGTTTTAGGGTCTCTATACTCCAGTTGACAATTAATCGATTACCACATTAGTTGATGATTATTTCAATTATCGATAATCAGGATTAATCCGATTAATAGTTACAGCACTGGTCCAGGTCTAAACATCAGACTGGTAAATCAAATCTTTTTAAATGTGAGTCTCCAGACATGCAAAACAGAGTGACGCATATCACCAAAAAAAAAAAAAAAAAGGCTTGCAGCTTTCAATGTAAAAAATAAAATAAAATAAAAAGTTTCTACAAAAAAAAAAAATACTTACTGAACATATTCCACATATTTTGCATATTTTAATTTGTAAAAATTGGTTAAAAAAAATGCCTTTTTTTTTTTATTTCAGAATATTTTACTTTGTGTCCTTTCCATCTCATAGCAAAGCATCACAGTTTGTGGGTACCATGTAAGAAATTGTGAAATAGATTTAAGCATTCAAATCCGGCAGCTATACACAGTTTATTATTCTGCTAGATAACTATACATGTCACTATTGATCATGCACTTCCAATTTCACTGATACTGGAATTGTAGCATTTATGTGTTAGCTTGTTTTTTCTAAATCTGTTGGCTGCACTGTTACTTTCTGTAGGCTACTGAGACAAAACAAACAGCTCTCTGTGGTCATTTAACAGTGAATGCTAAACAAGCTGACCCACAGCTACAAGTAATCTTAGGTTACAGTGAAAGTTAGTTACTTGTTATGAAGTATAACTGTTTAATAATAACACTGAGTGCAGATCGAGTCAGAAACCATGTGTTTCACGCCTCTATAAGGTTGTTTTGACGTCGTTGTCGTTGAGATGCTAGTAGTAGTAAACCTCACGCAGATCAGCAGTAAAAACTACTTTCTCATCGTGTAAAATTATCACTGAAGAGCTTAAAACACACTGATAAAAACTCGCAGTTTCAACCTTTATCCATCACTGATTCGCTGTGAGGTAAAACGTATCATGCGGACATACTTACCTCGAATGAAAATAACTTTTTTCTGCTGTGCGGCGGTGCTTCCTCTTGACAAAATTCTGTTTGACATAGAAATGACTTCCTGGCCTCCCATTGGCTGAGGGGAAGCCAGGCTGCTTGTGATTGGTCAGATTCGGCACGGTGTTGAGAAAAAAAACTGACAGGAAGAAGGAGGTTCTCCAGTTTGTGTAAAACAAAACAAGAAACTTATCAGTGAGTCTTTAGTTTTAAACAATCTGTATAGAATAAAGCAGAATATATAATAAATGAGCTAACCACAAACAGTACAGAAGAGTTAAAATCACGTGTTTGGTTGGGTATATTGACATGACAACACCGTTGGTTAAAATGTTGCCTCATTGTAACTTTCTCTACATCCTGTCTGTCCCATTAATTTGGCCAGAGAAGAACTGTACAGTGTAATTACAATGTCTGGGGTTTCCCTCATTTCCTAGAAGGACTGTGCATAATTAATTTTCCATTAAAGAGAAAAGATTTAAGCCCTTTAATTATTGTTCTTTCAAATACATCTTTTCTACCCTTGCATAAAAATTAAAGGTTGGGAGTATTATTCTCAAATTTAAATTTATGCAGAGGTGGTCAGTCGCAAGTTACATTTAGTTGAGTAAACTTTTCTGCTTACTCCAGGTACTAGAAGTAACTACAGGTGTTTGCAGATTAGGTGAAAATACAGTAAACAGTATATACCGTTGATTGAAGTTCTGTATCATTAGCTATACGCATTACCTACTGTTAGGATATTATAAGTTCATGTTTGTTTGTTTTTTACGTTTCAACCTAATCATGCTTTTTATTTTTAGTTTTCTATTTTATGCTTAAAAAAAGAGCAGAATTTTCCCTAAACTGTCAGCCTGATTACATAAACAGTACATCAGATACTACTCAGTACTTGGATAGCCATTTTACAAAGTACTTTTTTACTCTTACTTATTTTTTTATTTTTTCTAAAGGAAAAAAAATAGTTTAAGTAGTGCTAAATAAGTAGCATAAAGGCAAGAGCTCATTAGCATAGCTTGACTACTACTAGAGAGCTAGTTTAGGCATTTCATTGAAGTTTGTAAGGCAGAGATATCTCAAAATTGCAGAATATCGACTTTTGGTCTCATGGTTTATAGCAAACTGATAACATCTTCTTCTGGCTTTCCTCTTTAAAATATCACGTGAAAATTACAGAAACGTAAAAAAAAAAAAAAAAAAGACCAGTAGACTTTGTTTCTCAAGTTTGAGGACGTTTTACTTCCAATCCAGGAAGATTTTTCATTCCATTCAAATGTCTGGATTAGTGCTGAGTTCCAAGCTTTATTGAGTAGCTCAAAAAAAGCCTTGTTATTGCTTAGAAAACATGCAAATTGAACACGAAGAACGCGTCCGTCACTAAGGTCTTTGTTAGCCTGCAATACCCAGTACAGGCCCATGCGTCTGAAAGGGGAGTCGTTAGGAGCATTGTTGGCATGGCTGTCCAGGCGAAATGTCTTGGTCCCCCGCATAGACATGAGGATCAAGATGATAGCAGGAAGGAATCAACTATGGCTGTGTTGTAGGTTTTTGAGAGATAAAACCTGAGTTCACCCCCTCTGTTTAAGGGGATTTTCTCTTAACATAAATGGCTTCCTTCACTTTCATCCTGTGAAAAACCATATTTGTAGAGGATATAACTCATGGTTGTCTCGTTGAACAATTTATAGGAGAAAAAAAAAGTTCTTTCTGGTTCATTTAGCTGTATATAAACTAAAGCTCAGGCTCAAGATTAAAGTGATGAAGTTAAGAATGTCTGAATATTTTGTTAAATACACAATTTTATGCATATAATATTAAGACTTGATCTAAAGTATAAAATTCTATATTTAAAGCAAATTCCACTTGTCAATAAACATCCTGATATAAATGGAGGAAAAAAAACTCCAGCATTTAGTGATAAATATATTTTTATTCATAGTAGACAAAAGAAAAGTCATAAAACTCCCTACAGGTGGAACTGTCCACATGGGAGCTTCTGTGGTTGACATGCTTGACGAATTTGAGTGTTTCTTTGTCCCTGTAGACAAGAGCGAGGGAGTTTTCCTCTGGATACACAGTCAGAAGCTGTAAGATGATGGAAGTCCATTAACGATACCCACATGTGATATGCAAGTATCTGCTTTTGTAAAAAAGGTGACACTCACCTCTTCATCCTCCTCATTGGCAACATAACATGTTGAACCCCCAAACTCTGTCTGCCAGTCTATGAGACATGAATTCAGTGTTACAGTGAAAGTCTTTCCTCTTACTCTGTTAATGTGTGTGACTCACCTGTGCAACCAAAGGGCAGGATTAGGTCCAGAGCGTACTCTGCCTGTGCAGCTTCAGCATCATGCAACAAAGTGTAACTGCCATGAGACCAGCGACGCACTTCTCCACAACACACCGGTGTGCTCAGCTCTGAAGAACAAAGATCCCAGCACATAAACAAACCCGTAGCTAAGCTAAAATCTGAACCCACACTTTCACATACTTTTCCCTCCATTGGACGCTCCAGCTGTGGATGATTCAGCTGATGTTCCTGCAACCTCTCCCTCTTCGTTATCGTGCTTCTTTTCCGTCTCTTCGTCCTCCTCGTCTGCCGGACACAAGTAGTGCAGATGGAGGCCAGTAAAATTGGAGAGAAGCAAGAAGAAGGCTTCCGAGCGAAGCAGCTCCCAGCACTCGTTTACACACTCAGGCAGAGAGTCCAGAGATGCTGATTCATAGCACCTGGAATAAGATTAAGCATGATAATCCACTACTATGGTGCTAAAACATCCCGTCTGTCTAACCTCTCACCTTTTATTAGCCGGACCTCTCTTCATCCACTCAATGCGACTCTGTCGCAGAGCTTCCCTCACTTCCCTGAATTTCTCCTCCTGTGAAAGAAATGTGACAATAAACATGGAGGAAAACCTGGAAAGATGAAATGTGGAGAGGAAGGCAGAGGTGTTACCTTTAAAAAATCTTTCAGCTGTATTTCAGAGCTGTCTTCAAACTCTGTTTGAATCTGCTCTTGATGAGAAATATCCAAGTACAGGGGATTGATCCACTCAAACAGGACAGCTTCCTGTCAGGAGCAATAAAAGGCAGACTTTAGAGGATCGTTGAGTCATTTCATTCAGTGCTGAGATGAGTATTTCTCTGCACACTTTTTCTGTTTTTGCTTGTTTCATTATACTTAAATCAATCACATACTAAAACAAACTTTTAACACGAATTTGTTTAAATATAGGACTGGGCGATAGGGCTTAAAAATTCCAAAAATTTCCAAGTCCAACTGATGAACGGATGTCACTCTGAGCTATGGAAGTCCAAGCAGAAAAAAAATTAAAATAAATTTACCAAATATTAAAATTACAATTAATCTATTTTACTAATCACCCAGCCATAAATAAATAAAACATGAAGTTTTAGAATACATTTATTTATTAGGCTAAAAGGCGAACCTTGGTCTGAATTTACCTCTTTAATATTCACCATTCACACCCAGACCTGATTACTGCCAGTCACCTGAAATCTAGTGACAAGATAGACTATCAGCCATGGGAGAGTATCAAGATTACAAACATTTGGGGGAACTTTTGTAATCTTGTTGTAGAATAATACAACAACATTACTTTTGTGGAAATATTCAGCTGACTGACGAGACGAAGGGTTTTTTTTTTATGGGAGGCGTGTGTCTCATTCCATGGGCCATAAATCTAACACGTTATAACCAGAGAACATCATACTGGCAGTGAAACCTGGTGGTGGTAGTGTGATTATCTGGGGCTGCTTTATGGTATAAGTATCTGGACGACCTAATGGAATCCTCAAAACAATCTCCAGCCATCAATTAAGCAGAGGACAAGAATCAAAAGCACAACAGCAGATCCACATTTGAATGCCTCATTAAGAGATGCCTCCTTTGCAACAGATTCAATTATATCTGCTAGATTTTTAAAATTAGATATATGAAAAATCTGCAGAATTGGCCACTAATCTTATCAAGTGTCAGTTTGATTTTCAATAGAATAAAACTCCTTTTTAATATGGTGCATGTAGTGTGTAGCTAGATTAACAAACAAAATCGATGGGAAACCTTAAAATGAAAGTGCCTGAAAATACGACTTATCACCGTTTCCCAAAGCACTCACATCTCTCGGTAAGTGAGGATGCTTCACGATGGATGGCTCCTTAAAACGAGGAGGACGCTCCAAAGAAGGTCCGTGAAACCAGCCGCTCAGGGAGAGACGGCACTTGTCTCGTGATAAAACTTCAGAAACCTGCAGAAAAAAAAAATAAAAAAAAAATCAGAAACACGTCACCTTACCCTCCTATTTTAACCAACATGGCTTAATAAAACCCAAATACTCACCTGGTGAAAAGATACTGGAGACACCTCGAACAGTACAAGGGTGTTCCAAGAAGGTACGAGGGACTTCACTATTCTCTCTGGCTGGAAATTACCTGAGGATAGTAAAAGGCAGCTGTTATGTAACAATACAGCTGTAGACCCACATACACACAGGATGTGAGGTACCTACTGTCTGTGGAGTACAGATCCAGGGTGCCACCATCACTGCTCTGCCATGGAGGCACAAGATACAGAATGAAAGCGACCCTCCTCCCCTCCAGCTCATCATCATGGCACAAAAGAACATCTTAAAGATATAATAAAAAACTAAAAACCACATGCAACAACCTTCTCAGATTCTCTGGGTTTTTGGGTAAGTCTCACCTGTATATTCATATTTAGCACAAGAAATATCCACAGTGGGCTCCAGCTCGACGCCCAGGACGTCCCCGAGCCAGGAGCGGAAACGCCCAAACAGGGCCCCCCTACAGAAGCAGAAACATTTCACATTGGACTCAATAGAAACCCTCCATAACTATAAAAGGATGACTGTTGAAATGCCCAAAAAGCCTGCCATGGCATTTGCTGCGGCATGAATTATAGATGATCACAGACAGAGGTGAGGGGGGGGGGGCATCTCTTATTGTACATTTAATCGCAGCATTTAATCCCCAAGACTGGATTATATTAGTGGGTGTGAAAGCTTATAGTCAGTCTCT